AAAACGAAAATAACCCCAAAACCCGAAAACTTTACTAGCTGAACACACACACACACACACACACACACACACACCAACCAAGATTTGGAAATGCTACTGCAGTGGATTTATAGGAATTGTAATTCAAACTGCCTCAGGTCCATATACTCATCTGTGGGCTGGGTTCCCCAGGCAGATTACATTTCCCATGATGCACCACAGCTTCCCCACTCCCTGAGCCACTGTGGGGCATCCTTAGAGTACCTGGCTAGGGTGCATGATGGGAAATGTAGTCTGGCTGGGGAGCCTGGCTCACATAGGGAAATGGGGGCTTGAGGTACCCAAAGTACAATTCCTATTAGGCCACACAATAGTGGTGCCAAAATCAATTTTTTGGTGTCAGACAAAAGTTTTCAACTTTTGTTCAAAGTTTTTGATTTTTCACAGGATACAAAACCCCAGACATTTTCTAACTATTTCTAATGATTATTTTATGTTGGAATCTAATTTAGCAAATGTAATTTTTGTTTTATTAATCCTAATGGAAGAAATTTTTGAAAACAGAAGACAGGCTTGAGTTTCTGAAGACACCAATTTTCACCTCAAAATGAAAAGACTTTTAAACTCTGAAATTTACAAGCATTTCAACACTATTTACTTACATGTTTTCTGCTTATTGATTTTTAAAGCTTGAAGGTTAAACTCTATAAAAATGGAAGTTCAGGACTCACCAGCTGCTCCCAGAATGCTCTTGAAAACAGGATGTGTTCTTCTGAGGAGTTCCATCATGCCTGAAAAACACAAAAAAACTCCCAAAGCTTAGAATTCCATTAAAAAAGAAATCTGAATCATTATCCCTAGTACAGAGTGAGTTATTTCTGCTGTATATTAATGGATGTTCTTCTAATTTATCTACAGTACTATTCTGAAGTCCGTATTGAGCAGCTACTTTTGAAATTGCATAGTATGTACACTGCTGCAAATGGGTGGCATTACCACACCGCTGTGAAATACAACCTATATCCGCTGTGTGGATTCAAAACTCACCATTTTCCATGGATTTGCTGTATTAGCAATTTCTCAATATGAAACAAACTTATTGAGCCCAAACCTTCTCCCCAGGCTTGGTTGTTATTGTGGCTACGTCTTTAGGGCTTCTCAACTCCAAACTGTTGTTTTCTTTTTCCAAGGGGGCTCACTTATATGCAGGGTGGTATTAGCAAGATATATATTCCACAGTGACTCAGCAGGAATCAACTGGCATCTCCTAGTCAAGTTCCAATACCCATCAACATTTTCAGTCAACAGAATAACTCTGTTACAGTTACAGTTACTTTGTGGTTGCTAGGCCTCAAAAGATGCCCTTCTCACCAAATATGTAAACCCCCCCAGTATGAGGTCTGGTCTATACTACCCGCCTGAATCGGCGGGTAGAAATCGAGCTCTCGGGGATCGATTTATCGCGTCCCGTTGGGACGCGACAATCGATCCCCGAATTGGCGCTCTAACTCCACCAGTGGAGGTGGTAGTAAGCGCCGCCAACAAAAAGCGGCAGAAGTCGATTTTGCCGCCGTCCTCACAACGGGGTAAGTCAGCTGCAATACGTCGAATTCAGCTACGCTATTCACGTAGCTGAATTTGCGTATCTTAAATCGACTCCCCGCTGTAGTGTAGATGTACCCTGAGGGAAATATGTTGTACATCCTAGATACAAAGCATCCTAGATACATCCTAGATACATCCTCACTGAGCAAATAAACAGTATGCTAATTTGAAGTACACTAATACCTGTTCAGTCACTGATACTTCATGACATTAAAATACATGTTCCCACTTGTAAAATTGCCAATGAAAAAATGCACATGCATTTCCAAGTGGATGAATTAAAGTACCATATTCATTTGGCTAATTTGTTTGAACCGTTTTAGGATAGAGGCATTTACAATACATGAACTTGAAAATGTTAAATATTAATCTCTCTTATCAGCCTTCTCCAGGCATTGGCCGGTGCCTTGTTTTACTCCAGGAAAAATGCACAAGCATTAAGGGGCCTATTCGTTAAAGCAAATGATTTATGCAGCAAGGTCAGGCTTGCTTAAAATTTTTTGTTTAGCTACATGAAATTCTCTAAAGAAAATGTGAATTGCAGTCATATGTGAATGCCTACAATGGTTATGTGGAATTATACCATGAGGAAATGTCCATGGAGAATTAAACTCACTGGTACTGGGAATTACTTTGATATCCAACATGGGCCCAAGCTACTCATCCCCGTGCCCCCTTCCCGCCCCGTCGCAAAAGCCAAACCATTAGAGTAGACATGTAATATTTTTTAAAGGAAAGTTGAGACCCCTGGTCTTTGTTTGTACAGCACCTAGCACAACTGGGTTCTGGTCCACGACTGGGGCCCCTTGGAACTACCACAGTACAATTAATTAATTAATTAATAGGGCTACTGCTACGATTTTGTCGTGGAGGTCATGGAATCCGTGACTTCCAGAGACCTCTGTGACTTGAGCCTGCAGTGCCTGCGAGCTGCAGGGTCCCCCACCACCTGTGGTGGCTGGGAACTGTGAGGGCCCTGAGCACCTGGTCACAGTGGGCGGGGGGTATGCCTCAGAGCTGCTGCGGGTGGTGGGGGGCCCCGGGAGCTCCCAGATGCCACAGGGGGTGGGGATGTCCCGAGTTCGGAGCCATTGGCAGTGGGGAGAACCCTGCAGTTCCGAGCTGGGGCGCCCTGGGGTGGTGTGGAGACACTGCAGCTCCCCATTTTGTCACGCATATTTTTAGTAAAAGTCATGGATAGGTCACGGGCTTCCGTGAATTTTTCTTTATTGCCCGTGACCTGTCCGTGACTTCTACTAAAAATATGTCCGACAAATTCTTAGCCTTATTAATAAATAATAGTAATTATCTGATAACTTCAGGAGCCATGACATTTAGAAAGACACTAAAGATAGTGGCTTTTTCACAAGTGTCAAGATATTGGCTGGACTGTACCCGGTCTCCGGGGGACTGGAGATATATAGGATGACCATATGTCCTGTTTTGGCTGGGTCAGTCCTCTTTCCGCTCTCTCTCCCCCCACCCCCAGCAAACCAGAACCATTCTCACAGGAAGGGAGGGGAGAACTGAAGAGCCCAGCAGGTCGGGGCACCTCCACTCCCTCCTCCTCTCCTATGCACAATGGGAACGGTGCCCCTGCTCCCCCTGCCCACAATACTTAGCCTAGGAAGGGGCATAAAGGGGGTGAAGAGCATCTGGAGCTGCCCCCCGCAGCCTGGAAGGGAGAGAGTGAACCCTCCTGCAGTCTCCCAGGCCTGGGAGAGAGGGAGTGGAGAGCCCCAGGAGGAGCATAGGTGAGGCTGGGGGGTAGGGTTGGGGTAGGGTAGGGTTGCCAGGTGTCTGGTTTTTGAGTAGAACACCCGTTCAAAAAGGGAACCTGGTGGGTCTGGTCAGCACCACTGACCGGACCTTAAAAGTCCGTTTGGCATGGGGCTGGCAGGTAGGGTGACCAGGTGTCCCGATTTTATAGGGACAGTCCTGATATTTGGGGCTTTTTCTTATATAGGCTCCTATTACCCCCAATCCTCTGTCCCGATTTTTCACACTTGCTGTCTGGTCACCCTACAGGCAGGCTCCCTACCTGGCTCCGTGTGGCTCCCCAGAAACTGTGACCTGTCCCTGGGCTCCTAGGCAGAGGGATGGCCATGGGGGCTCCATGCGCTGCCCCCACCCCAAGTGCCGGCTCCGCAGCTCCCATTGGCTGGGAACCATGGTCAATGGAAGCTGTGTGGGCAGTGCCTGCGGGTGGGGGCGGTGTGTCTGCGGGCGGAGGCAGTGCGTAGAGCCGCCTGGCCATGCCTCCACCTAGAAGCCAAGGGACATGTCACCATGTGTGGGGAGCCGCCCGAGGTGAGTGCCACTTGGGGCCCGCTCCCTGCATCCCCTCCTGCGCTCCAACTCCCTGCCCCAGCCCGGTGAAAATGAGTGAATGAGTGAGGGTGGGGGAGAGAGAGTAACAGAGGGAGGGGGGAATGGAGTGAATGGGGGCAGTGTCTTGGGAAGGAGCAGGGCAGGGCGTGGGGCAAGGGTGTTCGGTTTTGCGCAATTAGAAAGTTGACAACCCTACAGGGGTGAGGGGAACTATTAGAGGGGACTAAACTGATGAAGGGTGGGGCTGTGGGCTGGGGTGAACTGATAAGGGAAGAGTTGTGGGGACTAATTTGGAGATTGGGGGCAGCATTAATTACTTGGCAGGGGACAGACAGATGTAAGGGTGAGAGCTCCTGCAGCAGGGGTGTGTGTGTCAAAATTGATTACCAAATAAATGCGGGTGAGCGGGCAATACCAGTTCTCTCTCTCTCTCTC